GCAAGCTCTCCCACCGGTAGCACCTTGGGCGCCAGCCTCTGGAGGTTCTCGGCGAAGGCCCGCACCGCCGCCTTGGGGAGGCTCTTGCTCAGGTGAAAACCGACGCGGCCCTCGTCGTCCTCCTTCTGGATGGCGCAGCTGTAGGCATCGTCGTTGGCACCGATGTGCGCCCGGACCAGGCATTTCAGGCTCATCTTAGCTCGGTGCTTCAACGACGGATCGTTCGTGAGCATGAAGGAGCAGCCTCCGGAGCGGAAGAGGCAGTTGCCCAGCATCATGGACTTGTCCGTGCCGTAGTACCAGTTGGGGGCAATGGACTCGGACGTGACGACGACAGCGAGCGTCCTCTTCCGGGTCTTGAAGATGTTGTTGACAAGGTCGATGGCGATGGGGCTGGCGCTGCACCCCATCCCGGCCAGGCTGAAGTTCTTGACGTCCTCCCTCATTCTGTACCGGTTGACGATCCTCGACGTCAGGGAAGGGGAGGGGGCGAACATGGACACGTTGACCACCAGCACGTCGACGTCAATGGGAGAGATACTGGTCCGGAGGAAGAGCTCGTCTAGCGTGCGATACATGCAGTCGTCGACCTCGTCGACGCAGTCGTCGTGGGTGGGACACTCCTCCCTGCCCTCGATGATGCTCCGGGGGCCGTACGTGTCCTCGCTGATGCCAGAGTTGACGACGACCTTGAGGAGGAACTTGTAGTCAGGCACGCTCAGTCTCTTGTTCCTCACGATGATGTCGCTGCAGAGCTCGCTGGAGAGCTTGCGATCGTCGGAAGGCTTGTAGCAGACGAAGTCGAGGAGGTAGCAGCTCCGGTTCCTCCGACGGTCGAACCCCTTCCACAGAATGGACAGCAAAGAACAGAGAAGAAGGATAGTGGAGATCGTCCACAAGAGATCCATGGCACAATGCCAAGGAAATAAATAATCTACCTTCTTCTCGGTGCTGTTTCCACTGGAAGAGGGGGGATCGGGGGAGAGTTATACGTAGTGAATGGCTTCGGAGGGTTGAGCGGCTATAAATGCACTACCATCATCTGCTGCTTCCCAACCAAGTCCTTTTTTAGATTGACTGTTACATTGAGGTCTGTCACGGGCATGTGAGAGAAGGAACTCGAAGGATCAGAGAGAGAGAGATGAGGGTCATGGAAGGTGATCATTGTGGGTCATTGCAAAGGAAGAATTCCCTCTCTGCTATCAACCCCACCACATTTCAAAGGTTATGTGTAATCATTACTAAATTCCTTTGTACGCAATAGGAAATAATAATGACGAGTAGTTCGGATTACGTTTATGGAGGACAACCATATCCTGGTAGGACACTGCTCAGAAGTTGGCAGGAGCCCCACCGGACCATTGACCAGCAATAGAGGAGAGAAGAAGAGGAGCTTCGACAAGTAATGTTTTAGGGATGCCAACTAACACTGCTCGGAGAAGAAGGAGCGCTGTTCCTACTTATATATCTCATGCCAAAGCCATCGTCTCGAGTCTCTAAATCCTCAACTTATTGCAATTATTATTCGCGAGGCTAATCCAAATATCGTTGATCATCATTGATAGCGCAAATATTCACCCAATGACAACTCGATATATAGCACAATAATAGAAAGATAAAATCGGATCAATATATTCTATTCATATCTTAAAAATAGTAGATCAAGAAAATATTCCACTTGTATTATAGACTATTCTTTCAATTTACTAACCGTAGAACATAATAATCGAAGTCAAGTATAATTTATTAAATTTAATTTTCTTTTATCGACTTAAACTTCATAAGGATCATATAAAATACTCATTTGATCTTGATCTTCGTATAGGTCAGCTAGCTACGGAGCACGCGTCCAAATCTATCTCAACCATCAAGGGAGCGTTCAAGGTTTCGATCATATTAGAATTCTTACATGCGTAGATCTAAACTGAATCGGGTGGATCCAAACATCAATAATATCATTCATATCGATCGAGTTTTTGCGTATTCCAACTTGCTGATAGAAGATGATAAGATTTCTCCAACTATATGAGAAAATCTCTCTATTCTGTTTATTCTGTTGAGGGAAATCCTTCCTCCTAATATGTATAAATAGGAGAGGGAACATGTTAATATATTCAAGCTAAAGCTATTTCATTTCTACAATAAAGCTTTTTCAATTATTGTTCTTATCTTCTATTATTTCTATCATGGTATCAGAGCCACCACTTGCCTAGAGCAAGCTCCTCTTCTTATTGTTAATTTCTTATCTTTCCTTCTTTGCTGTAGCCTTCTTCTCTATTGTAGTCTCGTTGTAGCTTCTATCACTTGCGAAGTGACAAGTAACTCCAGCTAAGCTGATGGCCGGCTTGGACAAAGGTTGCAACCACTCGGTGGCTCTGTTAGTAAGATATGCGACGGAGTCACCGAGTCAATGCGAAGCCACACCGAAGCAGAAAAGCCAACGTAGACTGCAGACGGAGACAGTTGGGACGTGGGGTGTGTTAAGTATGGCGACGTACCAAGCGTTGACAAGCTGTGCTGGTCAATGATAGATTCGTTGGCGAGTGAGAGAGGAAGATGGAAGCAGCGATCTTGCTCTTTGACTTTTGGAGGACGTTGAAATGGAGATTTAATGACGATGAGATCACTAATGACTCCTGGTCGAGTACATAAGACATTAATTGGGATAAGAATACCAATCGGATTTCTCTCGGACGAAGTCGTATACACGTTGTAGGAGTACACAGGAAGATGCCAAGCGTTAGCGAGCAGAAGATGTAATCGTCATGCAACTGTAGGTGAAGAGAAACTAGTGAGATCGATACGTGCCTTCCCTGATGTATGATGTACAGAAAGAGAGAGAGAGAGGAGAAGATGGTTGATGATGGTGGAAGACGATGCTCAACCATGCAGTATGTGGGAGAAAGCAAGGCATTTTGCGTAAGGACCAACGAGATAGTAGTGCATGCAAAACAGTTAAACAGTGTGAGATGAGTTGTGTGGCTTCAAAATTAACAGGAAAATCTTAGAGATCAATAAGTATAAATAATTAATATAAAATTAATGTGATTAAATACTTTATCTCTATCTATAAAGAAGCAAACATTTATTTTCCTTTCTTAACTCTCCCCTCCAGTTGTTTCTGTATAGAATGACATTCTCTTTCTCTATTTGGAGTATTTATTCTTCTAAGATATATTTTATATCATAGAGATCAATTACAAACACTCTTTAGTTAATCCTAACTCAAATTGTGAATCCCACTCACATATCCTCGTACATAAATTTAAAAAAAAAATTATATATATATTTTTACATCCTCTAGACCCATTAAAAAAACCCACTTAGTATATTTCTTAACATCTTAGTCAAATATCAAAATATATAAATATATGAGATATTCTCCAAATCTTAGTTTTAGAATTTTCTTCCTTAACGAGAAATCCTATTCATATTATGACTTTTTATCCTCGAAAAATGTTAGCCTCAAAAATAAAAAAATATACATATATATTCGTGAATATACCATGCATATAAGCTATTTGGAATATTGCATCGAGAAGGAGAATTAAGGTATCAACAACACGATTCAGGTCCGTCCTGATGGCATTAATTGGGTCCGGATTGACGAGTTGATATACAGCCAGCCCGGTGGAGATATAGCAGCATTTTGTCGTCGGTGACTTGAATGCAAGATCACATTGCTGTCTCTTCCGCTGGGTCGTCTGCTCTCTCTCTCTCTCTCCGCGTCGTCGTCTTAATGATGACAGAGGATCGATCGCATGTCGACTGAGAGCCACCTGCAGAAGAAGCCGGCCGTGCCTTCCGTGCGGTGATCAATCCACGCATTGCCACCGATGTGTGAAGGATAACACCGAGGCAAAAAGCAACACCTTTATTATTTGTCGCGAACGGCTTCTTGTGTTGCCGTCGCATCTCATTCTGTTCTAAATGGATAAGATCAAGAGGGAGTCTGTGGGCGCAGTGTATATGTACGACAATGGTCGTTCGTGTCTCATTTATATTACCACATATTTTTGGCACAGTAAATTTGGTCGATAATTAGTTTTTGTTTTCTTTCAAGTAATTATACTTGTATCTGTTCATTTCATCCCACAAGCATTTCATGGGGTTTGATGGGAGTAGAGAAACAATCTACAATAATATTATTATAATGATTAAAATAATAATTATCGATAGTAGATCGAGAGACTCAACACACCCAATTTAATCAATTGAAAAACTCTCATAAATAAATAATATACCATCTAAAAGAAAAATTGCCTAAAGAAAAAATATATATAAATTATTCTATGAATTTATTTTTGTTCAGCTCCATTCTTCTTTATAATCGAGAATGATGCACTTGTTATCCCCTCCTTTTTTTATTTCAAGTAAAAGCAAAAAAAATATGATAATATAGGGAAAGTAAATTGCAAATTTTCAATAAATAATATAAATATTTCTTACATTTGCACATCTTCGGGGTGGTGGCGCAGTTGGTTAGCGCGTAGGTCTCATAGCTTGATCGAGTTATCCTGAGGTCGAGAGTTCGAGCCTCTCTCACCCCAACGTTACTATTTTTTTACTGACTATTATAATAGTTGGCCGCTGTTCCCTCTCCCTAGAGAGGGAGAGGTTCGCTGAACCGGTGATTGCGTGCCACCTTTGTTTGCTACGTCTTGTTACATATAGGGTTAATTGTTGTTGTGCGAGGTTCGATGAACCGGTCGGTGATTGCGTGCTACCTCTCCTCCACAGGAAGTGTCTTTCTTTGGCGTTTACAACAAAATTTGAATACTATTCTTGTGTGTTAATTTTATCGTGAGAGGACAACTCCAAATCAGACCCTCTTCCTTCGTCTTGTTTCACTGCACGATTTAGAAGACCTTCCCTTTGTAGTCTTGTTGGAAGTATTTATCGATACACACAATGTTGGTACACACCATTCTCGATGATCGTCTTGGAGTCATCAACCGATTGATATGTGAAAGGCACAATGATTGGTTGAACTAAGTATATACTGTAATCGCTATTCTCAAATCATTTATTGCTTGATTCACTGATGATTCTCCAACACCAGTAATTTCCTATGGCTAATTTCATCTCTCGTCTTTTAAGAGAACACCAGAAGCTTCCACAACGTACGTACAAGCTGCTAGAAACAGCGTACAAGAAAGAGATGCACTTGCATTTGCCAAACAAAACACACACACTCTCTCTCCGTATCACTCGATCACCAAAAGGAAAAGAAGCAACAGGGAGATATCTATCGCGTAGTATTGGTGCGATTCGAGGAATGCCCGAATCACATGCCCTTGGGGGGCGCCTGTGCGGCTGGCTAGGCCTTGGGCCTGATCTCGATTCCCTGGATGATGAGACCCTTCTTCCAGTGCCCTCCCCTCACTTCCATCAAACTCATCTCCACCTCCCCGTCCTCTCCCTCATCGATGTACAACTCCCCCAGTTCCGCCTCCATCCACCCGTCGTCCCTTGCGTCCCCAACCTCCTCCGCCGCCGCTTCCTGGTCCGCTGCAATCTCCAGCATCATCGCGCCCCACCTCACCAAAGGCCCGAACCGGATCCTGTTCCTCCGAGCGCGTACACGAGATGGCGAATCATTTGGCTGAAGACGGACCACGTGGGTGGATGAATGCTGCACCCCCATCGTGACGGATGCTTCTTGGGGTGGGTGGCCGAGACCACGCGACCAGTCCGCTAGTCTGAAGATGAGATAGGCAGCGTACGTCGTCCGCCCAGAAAGCATGCGACTTTGGATCTTGCCACGGATCTCCAGCCAGCACACGTTTACCAGTTCGGCGGCCTCCGAGAACCTTGCACGCACGGGGAATGAGACATGAAGCAGTAGCAGCAGCAGCAGCGTTGGAGAGAGGGATGCAAACTACATTACCTGCAGTCGGACAGAGGAACCCACCTCCAGTACTGGGGCGTGTCTCCCCACGTAATGGACAGCGATCGGGCGGAGAGCATGTAGCACTTGGCCCCACTCGACCTCTCCAACCAGAAGCTCTGCAAGCATCAAACAACAGCCAAGCTTTGTACCCGACTCATCCTGTCACGTTGCGACCCAGAGAGCATGGGCGAAATCGAAATCGAAGAAAAAGAGAACCGGAAAGATGGTGGTTCTCTATGTTTCTTCTACCAGAAATCTCTTCTTTGTCGTTCAGTTCCAATCAGAAACCGGTCCCAATTCACCGATGAAGAAGAATATAATATTAACCCTAAAGAAAACAGAGCATCTAATCGAGAGGAGGCGACGTACCATCTTGCCGGCGTCGATGAGGAGGGAATCGCAGAGGCGGAAGAAGAGGTCGCGCTTGGAGGAGCATACCACGGGGCGGACGGCGCGGGAGAGGATGGAGCGGTAATCGGAGGGGAGGAAGCGGTCCCAGACGGTGTCGTAGGCGGCGGCGGAGCGGAAGGCGGAGGAGACGGCGGAGAAGCGGCAGACGTCGCGGGGGGAGGTGAGGGCGATGGCGTGGGCGACGCAGCCCTCGGGAAGCCTATCCATACCCGACTCACCCATTCGATACCGATCGATCGATCCAATCTCTAATCCCTCTTTATTCTGCACCGTGCAGAAGAGGAGGAACTCACCCACACAACCAAAAGGAGAAGAAAGGAGATGAGGGTCGACGCAGAGGCATCGGATACACACATCTGCCAAGGGAGGATGGAGGAAACAGCAACGAGCGGTTGGGGTGCGGGAAAAGGGCAGCCTTGCCTCGAGGAATCGGAATTGCTATCGCCGAGACCACACGCGGCACGAAGCAAAGCGGAAACGTATAATCAAATAATTGTTAATAAATATACGAGCCACAAAAAAAAAGAATATGTCAATAAGATCCGACGCCGCAACAACCGCCACCGCTTTAATTGGGGTACAAACCTCGACCAGATCAGCCTGGGTTCATGCTCCGCGGCGGATGACGCAAGCCGCTGCTGCTGTTTTGGGCCTCCCCATCTGACGGCACCCGAAAGTTGCACTACGTGCTCTCTTGCTGTCTTAAAATATATTAACATCTTATTAATAGCTCATCATATATATATATATATATATATATATATATATATATATATATATAGTTAAAAATCTGATTCTGGGACCGATCGAGGTTTGAGAACATGACATGACAAAGAATCATCATTCTATTTAAAATGAACAATTACTTTTATTGCCATCTCCATATTGAATCTTCCTTGAATGTCCCTTCTCTCTATCCATAGAATCTACTCAAGATAAAATCGGTCTTCCATTTAAACACTTTAATCTTTCAATTTTAAGTTATGACAAATACATATATTTGGATTTAGTCTCATGTATATTCCGTTTTATGTCAATGATTCGATAGAAATGAGGCCAAATGACACATCCATCACAATCTATAGAACTTTAGCCCTTACCAAAGAATCTCTCCATGCCAATCATTCGTCTAAGAGATCTAGAGATATAACTCCTCCTATCTCTAATCTTGTTGAGATCAATTTTGACTATATCACAGAGTGTGATTGGTTGTTGAGATTAATTTTGACTGCATGGTTGTGGTTCATCATCCATCCAATGTTTCTTATGAGATCCCCTAGCATCTTAAAGTCATCACATCTTATGCAAGATTTCTTTACGTATCGACATCCGAATCTTAATCACAAGTAGTAGTAGAAGCATTCAGAAAAGAAAATTTAAGTGATCACATTTTTAAGGATAAGATCGGACACCTTAAACGGCATTAAGACGCATGACGCTACGTGGAATGGCAAATACAGGAATTCCAAAACCTCGATGAGTTTGCCTGACTGCTTTAGCATCACCCCTTTATTTTCTGACGAACGACGGATGATTAGCCAAAGGAGAGGTAGGTGAGAAGAATGTGGTGGAAAGGAATGGGAATAGTTTGGTGGAAAGGAATGGAAATAGTTTGGTTGCCCTTCCAAAATTTCCCCACACTTGGCCGCCAACCGTCAATCTCAAGATACATCATCATCAAAAGCCCTTACTCAGACGGACCCATCGTACTCCCCATCTAACTCATGACTAATATAAAAACCCACCTCTACTAACATCGATTCGTGCATATTTACGAACATAGACGACTGCAAACCCGTAGGAGTAAACTAACAAAAACTATGAAAGGAAGACACAAAAGAAAAAGGAAGGAGAAGACTTTTCTTTCGTTTTTTTGACTCGATCAAGCTGAAGGTTTCACGGTTTTATCGGCCGGATTGAGGGCAACGCTCGTGACCGTCGGAAACGTGGGCGCCACGCTGGGGTAGTAGACCACCCGCCCGTACGCCAACTGCCCCCCTGCATAGACCTCCGGGCCCGGCATTGCACCGCCAACGCCTCCCACCACCTTCGCCGGCGCCTCGTTGTAGGCTTCCGATGGTACCACACTACGCACCGTAGGAAAGAACCCTGGGTAGACCGCCGGTGATGCCGGGACTAGGTACACCGTCCGATCGACGCCGGGAGCCAAAGAGGTGTACCTGCCACCCGACGTCGCTCCGCTTTGCTCCAGCCAGTACAACGCTGGGGAGGGTGGTGGCGCCGGTGTTGCCTTCTCAGGCGCTCTTGAAACATGGTGTTCCAGGGGGCTTATCTTACGTAGGGTCTCCTCGCTGCTGTTGCGTGGAATCGGCGGCCGAGCGTTCTCGGCGATATTTAGCGTTTGTAGCTCCGGAATCTGTGCTTGGATCTCCCCTGCCAAGACCACGGCAACGGCGGGGGCGACGGTATCAGCACCACTCCCGATCGGCTGCTCGGGGTCATCCTTGGTCAGATCGGGCTTTGAGAGGGGAAGGCTTTCTAGCAACGGTGGCCGCTGCTGAGGATCTGTGGTGACCTTCACCGCCGGGGCAGGGACGAAGCCCTGGTCGAGGCCGAAAAGGAAGTCAGGGCTCGGCGAGGCCTCCGGCACAATTGGAGTTGCAGGAGGAGGAGGAGGGTGGGCGGGGACGGGGTTGAGGGTAACGAGAAGGGCGGCAGAGGGGCGCGGGGGAGGGGGCCACACGGGAAAGAGGAACAGGCGGATGCGGAGGCGGGGCGACGGCTTGGAGGAGGAGGAGGTGCAGCAGAGGCAGTCGTACTCAGTCATCATGTGGTCGAGGTCGCCGTCGTCGATGACGGAGACGAGGGCGTCGAGATCCTCACCGGGGAGCTGGTACTTGAGGCAGAGAGGGGCGGAAAAGCGGGCAAGGGATGCCAGCTTGGTGAGGAGGGCGGGGAGGCGGGCGGAACGGTCGAGGGAGAGGATCTTGGTCTCACCTCCGACGTAGGAGAGCCTGCTGCTATCGTGAGGGCGGAGCTGGATGCGGCCGCCGTAGCTGACCATAAGCTTGACGCGGCCAAGTGAAGTGGCCGGAGGAGGTGGCGCGTCGTCGCAGCTTGGGGCAAGGTTGACCCGTTGGACGGGGGGCGGAGGGGAGGGGGAGGAGGAGGAGTCGGCGCCGGATGACTCCATTCTGTTTTGATACCTCCTCTGCCGCACTGGAATCTCTGTTGTCTAACTGAACATGGGAGGTTGCTGCCGCATTTTTAGCATATATTGGAGTGGGCGATGAGGCCGAGGGAGACTTGGGGAAGGGTGGAGCTCACCTGTCTCGTGTGTGGGACAGATCAGCCATGGGTGGGGCATTGCAATCCGATCGACGTCTGGGATCCATCATAACCCCCAAGAAAAGCGAGAAAAATATCGACTCCAATTCTCTCACAGAAACTTTACTTTTTTGTGTCGCAAGGGTACGTGAATCTCAACTAACTGATCCGAATCGTGATTGATTTGGTTAAGATAGGATATCGGAAGTGGTGGAATAGGTCGCAGCAACCAGAGAACAGAGACATTTTAGGTGAGGCTTCTTCATGGGAACGGCTGGGGTGTAGATCGCCTACAAGAATCGTTCGGTAGCATACCACAAATTCACTTGAATCACTCCCTACTTGTTCCACGTAGAGTTTTGCAGGAAATGACGGCTCTAGGGCGCCTCTACGAGTACAAAAACGAGGTCAGGTTGTGAGGACAATAATGAGACGAGTCAACACTTCGAGGGTACAGGAAGACCACTGACATGCATGCATGGCACCACCATGTGGTGGCATGGCCATGCCATGTGCTGACCAGTGGAGCGTATTACTACAGTTATTGGCATTCAGGGGAGTGGTTGCCGTAGGGTAGTTGGGGAAAAGAAAAAAAAAAAAAGGCTGATAGGAAGGAAGGAGGTCAAAGAAGACTCAGGAGCTCGGCGGGCCCATTCATACTCACTGGGACTGTGCTAGCCTCCTGGTAAGTGGCGTTGAGGAGAGTCGATAAGACGAATAGTATGTATATAAACATATAGTAATGAGGTTCACTAATATGGAAGTAGGAAAGGCTGTCAAAGAATTCTAAAGAGAGATACGGTGTTGCAAGGACAGACGGCAGTAAGGCCGAGAGCCTATAGTTGCCTTGTTTGTTTGTTTGTTAGCAGTGTCTTGTGTGCTTCTGAATTCTAAATCACATCCCGCCATTTCTCGCACAAGAGTTCAATTGAAATGAGATGGGAAAAAAAAAAAAGTACTACGGTCAAAGTGGAACCACGACATCTTCTTCGCCGGAAAACTCGAGCTGCCACGTACGTGGAATAAATGAACGCTACTAACAGCATCCCTTATATTTTATTCGGGCAATTAAATGAGGCTTCGGAACTCCAGACTTTTTTCTCCCAAAACCTTTGTCCTACTAAGCCTCTCACATGAAGCTTGTCAAAATGGAAGAAAAGCGTTTTTGGAGTCAAGTCCGGGAAGACATTTGTCGATGGGTTTTTGCATGCGGAACCATTCCCTATCTAAGCTTGTCAAAATGGAAGAAAAGCGTTTTTGGAGTCAAGTCCGGGAAGACATTTGTCGATGGGTTTTTGCATGCGGAACCATTCCCTATCTTGCCCGACTCACTTTAACTATCCTTTTAATCAATGCTCTCGTGCCATATTTCCAAAGTTCAAGCATTCACAAAGAAACACTGTTCATTGTAATAACTGTTCCTACCCTATTTTAGAACTCTGTCTTTCTTATCGCACAACTATAGAGTTGTTATAAGGACCAAAGTTTCATGTAATTTTTGGGAAAAAGAAATCGTTTTTCCCCCCCGAAAGTGTATTCATTTTTAGAATTTCCTAATATATTTTTTTTTCCTAATACCTTGAACATCCCCATTCACCTATCTCTTTTCTCTTACTTTTCTTATGGATCAATCTATAGGATGAACTGATCCAGTAATGATGTTTTTGCATTGTGTTATGGTGTTTTCAATAATATCATAAAAACACTATAACACAATATAATATGTTTTAATACTATTGAAAATGCTGAACTGTAATATAAAAACATTGTAGACACACGATAAACACAATATCTTTACATGATAACATGTAAAAGTATTTGTAACTACACTAGTTCATAAAAAAATGTATCAAGGAAGAATATCAAGAATATGTACCGGTTCATAGAAAAAGAAATATCAAGGAAGAAAACAAAAGGTATATGGTTGACCATCAAATTAAAAATATTTTGAAATTAAAAAAAAATTATTAGAAAATCCTGACAATGGAGTATTTTCCAAGAAAATCCTAAAAATAAAATATTTTTTTAAAAAAATCCGTCCAATTTTCAATCTAATTTTTCTGACCATTTTCCCAACGTCATTGTCAAAAACCTCAGAAATTAATTATGAATTCGATTCCTAACTTGTAGGTAGACTTGGTCTCCCGTGATAGATAGCTAAGATTCCCACAACCTCTTTCCGCACACACCAAATACGAGTCCAATCTGATGACATGCTCACAGATCACCAAACAGGATAAGCTAAACTAAAGAGTTTAGCCAACACCTTGTCCTCAAAAAGGTGGCCCCAAGTGGACGCATGGTTACTCTTTGTTAACCAAGGTCCAACTGTAAAGGAACGAAAGGAGTTGGTACACAGAAAAGCTACATACTGAAACAGGAGTACGCAGATAGATAACTACAGCTGGAATATGCTCCAGCTAGATGGTTACCATCGAGAGGCAATGCATCATTTGCATTAAAAAGGTAAGCAAGGCTCTAAAAGAAAATTTATCTCCAGCATATCATCTTACCGATTCCAAAAAGCATGAAAAAGATAACCCACCAACTAACTATAGCAGCGGATGCCTTTTCAGTCGGCATGAGGAGCATTATTATCTACTTCAACAGCTGTGATCATTTCCTCATCCATGATCACTTTTCACAAGTACCAAAGATGAATCATAGACAAATGCTTATAGGATAAGAGAAATAGACAGTTATGGCGGTCCCAAATTGCACTCGCAGTTAGACAACACAAAGTTCCGAGTCCATCATTGGGCCTGCAAACCTTCCGTATCATGTTACGACTGAAACTAGACTTCTGCCTAAAACATGCATGGTTGCATGTAGGCAACGAACTCAGACGCAAAAGCTAAAAGTATCTGAGCACTACTGATTTAGTGTGTTTTGGACAGGCGAGTTTAACTTCGGACATGATGGTGAAGCTAAAAAGATGGAACCAGTCAAGAACCTAAAATGTCGTTGAACCTTATTGTAGTAGCTGGCTGGTGAATCACTTGTTTAAAGGGAAGCCATCATATAAAAAATAAGGCAATCAACAAATTAAGGGGAGCTTAAAACTAAAATTGTGGAATTTAGACAACGATGATGTGTCTACTCTGAATATGCCGTGATCTCACTGCCAAAACCACACTCATATCTCATCCTTGGAATAAAGAAAGTCCTTCAAAACACAAATATATTAGTATGCAATAATCATATATATATATATATATATATATATATATATATATATATATATATATATGTAATTCATAAGATTCCTGCCAGTGCATGGCCTAGATGAGTTAAAGAGCAACCTAATCATTGATACCAAGACTAACTCTCTGTTTAGATCTTGTGTAGAGTTTTTTCTCTCTTCTTTTCTTTTGATAAAAGGCACCATGGACTGCAACATGGGCGATACATACATCTTATACCACGAGTAGGGTTTAGGACCCACTAAGCATACTCAAGACGACAGCTAGAAAGAAGGCCATCCACCATTAGTGGATGAACCATCAATCATAACGATGAGTAAAACATGAAACTTGCACAAGAGGGAGATTTAATCCTAGACATTTAAGAGGCGATAGATGCTCTCCTACCAAAGACAAGGAACGATGATGATACGGGTGCTTTTGGTAAATAACTGGTTGTGGTACATATCTACGATTGAGTGATTGATTATATATGACTTCGTGCCTAGGAATCATTTATATATTCTTTCACTAATATATTAGCTAAACTTGGTTGGGCACAAATGAAGCACATCCAAGGGCAGATTTATTATTTCCAGATTTGCCGTTCATATCCAGTGACTTCCGAGAACAAATTTTGGTTCCCCTTCTTAGCTTCCTCATCGAGCCACTCAGCTCCTACTCATCCTTTGTAGAATCTCTTACTTCATACTCACATCAAAACCAGACACCCACCAATGTTGATGTTCTCATTCAACACATAATTCTAATCCTCTGATACGCGTGCAAAGACCTGCCAATTCTCCGTAATCAATAAATCGACGAGATCATGCCATGATGTAAACCTTGTTGCTACTGCATACATCTTTTCGAGTGTCTGTCTCGCTTCCCTTGGACGCTCATACTAGTATCACCATGCGTCCTAATGATACTTAGCCCTCTCGAACAACAGCTTCTTCCACATAATTTTATCTACAGTATATAGTACCTCTTCTAACGACGTATTCTATTATTTACTCGCTTTGATTCAAAAAAGAAACCCCCATCAGGCTTTCAGCATAGTAAAATTCATGCATTCTTAATCGCCTAATTACATAGGTGCAAACGTAGGATCCAATCAGTAAGGAATGCCAAACGGGACTTTTATCAAGCAAGTTACCAGCAAGATAAATTGGACCAAGTGAGTGAGATGCAAAAAGAACAATCAGATCTACGGAATCGAATCACAGAGGCATTTTGACACAACACCGAATGTCACATTGCAAGCATTCAGAGGGAAAATAAAGGTGAAATAATCGGGTGACGAGCGATGTAAAATGAGAAGATGGTGCGAGAGATCATACCTTTGCCCGGACGAAAGAAGCGAGAGATAAGATCAAGAGACAGAGCAGCATTCTGACCCTCTCTTGCACTGGATGAAGGAAGGAACGGCAACGTATTACCCATCAGAAATAGAAACCGGCCATGGGAGGGATGAGCAAGAGCAAGAGCCGGAGACCATGCGCACTGGATTCAGAATGGAGGAGGGTGTGGGTGACGACAGCGGTCCACAATGGCTATTCTTTGCCGCGAGCGAGTCTCTATATGTAGTGGTGGTTGGTTAGAAGGAGGGGGGGCGCGTATAACGCAGAGAAGGCGCGAATTCGAAGGGCGTTCGAATTTGAAAACACATGAATGTTAAACTAGTTTGGAACTACTTCGATTCAAATCAGTTTATCGATAGTTCGATTTTGAAGACTATAAACAGATTGTTCGGGACGATCAATCATGAAACGTAAAATCTATTTTTCTAGAACAAATAAACCATAAACCTCGGATCCTTTAATTTAATATATTTTCAATCCAAAAAAATCAATTATTAATCAAATAAACTGTTCCAATGACCAAAAAAAACAAAATTATCGTAAGTTTCTAGATACTATTGATTTATCATATTTCTTCGAGTACCAAGAGTTTATAAAAATCTCCGACTTCAGCATCATCAGTGGAACTCCACTCTGTTTTCTAGTCATGACTAAACTGGATCTCTAATTCAATCACCAAGTCGACGCAATCGTAGAAAAATATTTTTCTATGATTAACTAGTTCGAATCAAATTAAATTAATTTTAATTTACAAAATATCAATTAGATATGAGTTTATTGTTTTAAGCCGTTAACTAGTTTGATTATTGACGTGACCTAATTTCACTATCATAATCTTATGTGAGCTTAATTTCATAAATTTTGTCATATCCATTTAATTGGATTAACTATTCGATTTATTTTAATTGAACCAAGTCCATTCATTTGAATTTGAATATGAATATATATATATATATATATATATATATATATATATAATTACTTAAGATTAGAAACCAAATAATCGATTAACTTAACTGAATTAAGTGATTTTGAATTGATTCGATCAGGTGGGTACAAACCGATTTCACTTCAGACCAATTTTATTTCAACCGAATCAAATCGGAAACTGATTCGGCTCGATTTGCACGGATTTAAACACCCTATCATTAAGTGACCAATAGATCGATTGATCCATCCATCCATCCATCGATTAAGACCATATGCTATCGATTTCTGTCTATAAAATTGGAATCTTGATTTTTTTTTTTATAAAATAATAAAACCATTTTAAAATCGAAATTTTCTTTCACATCACTCTCTCTCTCCAAAGCAACGGAGGCAGATAAAAGAAGGGTTTGGGTTTGGGTCTCCAAGACAGAGAGTCGTCACTTTGGGGAAAAGTCACAGGCGATCAGTTGCATCTTCTTCTTTTCTTTCACTTTTTCTTGTTTTGTGGGGGGCTGTCAAAGTAAACCACCAATGGCCAATCCACCTTTTGACCCCCCCAACACAGATCCAAAGAGCAACATCGCGCCACCACACAGTAATAAATAACATTTCATGAAACGAAATAGCAGTAAAAGAACAAGATAAATCGCACTGCCTTCTTCATGTTGTATCGCCTCTACAATGACAGTACAATCATTCCCTGGAAAAGACGAATGCATCCCATCCCAGACAAGAATTACTATCGAATCATGTAACCACGGTCATCATTGATAGGTGCCTTAGATCCCACACATATCCAAGAAGACAAGAGCAAGCAAACAATGGCCAGCTAAAAGTTAGGCTGCTCTCGGGAGATGTTGCCCGGATCAGATCAGCCAGGTCCGAGCAAACATGGGAGCCCTATGGCAAGCCTTCGGCTGCTGACTCTACTTGAGAAAACCAAGTGGAGTTCTAAGAGCAAAGAACAATCCTGCATACTCGTATGGATGATAGCCATCTCGGTTGAAGTAGAACGATGAACACTCTTCAGCACTTAAAATGACAAGAAGCGTCGATCGTGTATATTTACAACAGCGTCATTTCTGACAATAATAATACAAGCGACGAGAACTGCAACATAATTTGATGGCAGCGAACTTATGATCACAAGAAAAAAATGATGGACGAAAAGCAGAAGATAGAGCAGCTGAGAAGGTGACGATCGACGCGGATGATGGCGGGCGATGAAGCTACCTGTTGGAGACTGGGTTTGGGCCACTGGGGACTTCGTGTTTGCTCGCTTCGAACTGGGAGGTGGAGTTGCCGCTCTTCGGATGTAGCCTCATGGATTGAGACGAGGAAGGTGACAGAAGTCGCCTACTGCTGCTGCTCGATAACGAGGCACCGTCGGTCTTCAGTTGAATCTGAGGCTGGCGAAGCAAAGCAAGGAGAAAGAGGCAGAAGAGAAAAGAGTAGAGTAGGAATGCATGTGCTCCGAGACGGACTTGGTCTTTAGCCATGCAGGTTTCAGTCTGGAGAAGAGATCAAGATCCATGAACCACTTTAAGTAACGAGAAGAGGAGGCTCGAGACGAGAAGGGAAGAAGGTTTGGTGGAAAGAACGCAGGTGGAGGGGAGGTGAAAAGGGTAAGGCTTTAAGTTGAACGCTACATTGCGAGGGACGAAGTTACGTGGTTACCCCCTTTCAGGTCACTTTTGCGTACATGGATTGTTAAAGTGACTCTGAACGAGATGACATGCGCTTCGACGAGTGCGGCAGAGGAATCCAGCATGGTGGTGGTGGAGATCGCCATTGAAGCGTCGAGGGTAATGTAAAATGATAAGATCAGAAAGTCGATGATGTTTCTGTAACTATCTTGGTGAGTTCTCAGGTCATCATATCCCTCCCTACATTTGCATGAAAACCTGGGAAGAAGGAATTGCCTGTAAAGACACTATCATGCTAATGTGATGGCCTTTTCTTGGATAGATTGGTGTGTGTGTGTGTGTGAGAGAGAGAGAGAGAGAGAGAGAGAGAGAGAGAGAGGGAGGGAGAGAGGAAGCCTATGACGTTTAAAGACACAGGAAAAGCAAGCATCCTATTCTAAGCATGGCTGTTCTGCAGTCTGTGATCCAGAGGCTGTCGTCGCACTGGGCAACAGGTGGCCCCCGATACCCACCTTGACAGATTTCCTGTGAGGAAGAAGGTGATGATGGATGGATGGATGCATCTTACAACACAAGATGGAAACGAGTCACGTTTAACCATTGAGCTTTGGCAGAAGAAGCATATAAAAAAGGCAAAAATGTGGAAACTAGTCTTATCATGACAAGAGAAGTCACTCACGAGGTTAACAGAAGAAGAAGTGTTGACGTCTTCGACCAAGAGAAGCTTTAGACCGTGACAAGTCACCAAGTGGGAAGGAATAAGTGAGTAATAGAAAGTTTTTACCTTCGACTTTTAACTTTAGAACTCCCACTTCCCATTCTCCTTCCCCCTTCTTTCCTCTCTCTCTCTCTCTCTCTCTCTCTCTCTAATATATGTATATATAAATATATAATAAGTTTGGGACGGATGCTTTGTTTATACATTATAATTCGGAGGAGACATTTTATCGAACAAGTTCATACTATTGTAGATTTTACCTAAGGATATTTTTTTTAAATGACAAAAAGGTATATGAACTAAACCTAATTGAACCAATAACTTCTAACAATTTATCTTTCTCATCCTTTTGTCTCCTTTCCTGTCTTCTCGCCCTTTAGTTAATTATGATTATGGAGGAATAAGGGTAATCATAGATTATCGCTTATAGTTAATTATGATTAATATCCTAATTTTTATACTTTATGAAATAATATTGAGATTTTTTATATTTATAAAAATAAAATATTTAATTCTAATTTAGCTCATGTCGAAAAAAATCATACGTATTGTCACGTGTAAAATAACACAATGAAAGAATAAAAAATTAATTTTATTATTTTTAAATTATTAATTTATCATTCACAAAAAACTGTTTTCCTCCCCTCTTGTTGCTCCTACGCTACAAATGGTAGACCATGACAGCATCGATGACGTACGAGATCGGTTCTCTAGTAGAAGGTGATTCCATGATACTGTGAACTACGAGACCTCGGTGCCCTTTTGTTCTTCTTCACTTGCTATTGTTGTTGCTGCTATAGTAGTAAGTTGGACTTCGACTTCGCCAAATCACCCGTCATTCCCTTCTAGAAGCCAACAACGATAAAGCTCAAAGGCAACGAGGAGAACAATTCCAAGGCTACGTGAAGCTGCATTGTAGCAATCTCCGCAGCTAAAGGGAACAACTATCGTGTGGTGATGCCCGGCTTCAGTGAGACGCATCCCTCCTCCTCGATCTCGTCCTTGTCAATAACCGACTGGGTGGGACAACCGAGGACATCGGAACAAAAGACGGAGGTAGCGTGCGTCCACATCTCCAGTGATGGCGATGATGATATCGTTGCTCGATGACTCAAAGGAGTATGATGTTGTAGCAAGAGAGTCGCCACCACTAGTCTTCTGGTTTCTCATTCGCCTTTTTTTATTAGGGAGGACATCACGTGTTGGGCATTCGCTGTGTGAGTGCACTTTAGAGGTAACAAAACCTTCCTCTGACCACGTCCTTCCTCACAACCGCCCTCCCCTGATCACGTATGCATCACCATCCATCTCAATGCCATGCACTAGCAATGCAAGCATTGAGTCGATGCTGACATGCTAGTCCTCAATGCCGACCAATGATGGAACGAAAAGAAGATGATCGTCACGTTGTAAGGTTTTGCTTTTACAAACAAGGTGACGGACGAGCAAGAGGGGAGGAGGAAATCGTTCACGATCGAAGGCAACATCCAAATTTCCTTTAGAATGCCATCGGCCTCGTGCACCACCAACGTCACCGCTGGTCTATCATCCGCAACGTAACCGAAGGGAAGTAAAATAATTTACATGAAAGAGTACATTTATATAATATTATTAATTTAAAAATAATAAATTGTTTTTATCTTTTTCATTCATGTCTTTTTGGTACGTGACAATATGTGCAATTTTTTTTTATCAATGAAGTTAATGACGTGAGAAGAATTAAAATTAAATATTTCACTTTCGTAAGTGTAACGATCCGAATATTCCTTTTTAAAATATAAAAAATTGAGATACTAATCATAGTTAACTACAAATGATAATATGTAATTACCCTAAAGAGAGAGAATGAGAGCAAGGAGGAGATTGGGGGAGAAGGCAAGAAAAACAAAGAGAAAATTATGTTAGCGATTTTAAAATTTTTGACATGGATAAAAATGAATCGATAAAAAAAAGACCATAAATTATATATTAACTTTTAATAATATTTGACATAAAATAAAAATATTTTTGTTTAAATAGAAAAAATATCTCTAGATAAAAACGAATTAGGAAGACGACATTGGATATGAAACAAAAAATAATGAAACCTTTCACCCATAAAATTACCCTTAAATCTGCCAGCAGCAAACCTTTCACCCTCGAGACAAAAGTAGCTTACATCTTATTCTTGCGGCATTCGCAAGACAATTAGAGTACTGAAGCTGAAGCTTCACTTCCCAGCGGGACGCTCCTGTCATGGAATCTTAGAAGAAACTTCAACACCTATTATTTGTAGGTCCTGTAAAAGCTCGAGACAATGGTCAAAGTAGAAAACGCACTTTTCAGAGAGAGAAGAGAAAAGACACCGTCGTTTCCAGCTGACTTGATACTTTTTTTTTGGTAGAGCAAATGCATGCTTTTAAGGAGAGTTCATTCATTACTAATGAATAGGTACACCTGCATCAAATCGAGCCAACCGAGCTGAGTAGACAACAATACCGTCTGATCGATTCCTCCTTCAAGATGGCAGGCGGTGAGGGCGACCGCTGAGATTACAATTCTTTGAGAAGATCTTGGACCTTCTCGAACGTGCATCAGCACAGCATATGATACCGCAGTGGATGAAATTTCATGCCACGCAGATTCTAACTAAAGCGGATTTGTTCCGGAAAAAAAGAATAGACCCCATCTTTAAGCTGTGTGTGTTCATAATGCAGCTCGTACTGCACTACACACATCTTACTCACTGATTACAAAACCCAGGAAGCATAAATCTACTTTCACATAATGCTATCAGCTTTTGCAAATGAAAACTAGAAATTAGTTCATCCTCATGTCACTCTGGGAGGTGAAAAATAACAAAGAACGTGCTCGTCCTCAAACTAAATCAATTGTAGTACCCTAGATAGAAGACTAAACTCGGAAGTCGAGATTTACGGATACAACGGAATAATTTGCAGGTCTCATGAAAAGGAGAGAATATTGCAGCGCATTGTGTGCTAGGTTTATCAGAAGATTTGGTGGCTTGGAAATTGGAATTCTACACTACAAGCTACACAAAAGGAAACGGTAACAAAAGTGTTGAACAACTCTTACCTTCGAGAAATTATTGCTCAAAAAAATTTCTTGTGTTTGTAATTCAGTTTCACGAGATAGAAGGCTTAGCTTCTCAAGTGTCATGATCTAGACATTAGGAAATCTGATCTCAAAACAAGGGTCAAAGAGAAAGACAACAGAAACAATCACTTACCTCCAGCCTAATGACTGTCTTATCCCAGTGAAAATAAGACCAACGGACCTCCCAATCATACAGACAAGCAGAAATGATACAGCATTTCTAACCTTGGTGAAAGCAGATCTAACCAATGGCATGCTGATATCGGAAAACTCCAGATACAGGCTGAAGTAGTACCTCCTGCAAACAAAGCATTAAATGTCACATATCATCAAGAATAAAGTAAATTGTTTCTAACCAAAAGTATGAAGAAGAACAATAGAAAATGACTTGTTTTCTTGTAGTAAAAAGAGAGAGAGAGAGAAAGAACAAAACAAAAGATATTGGATAAGGATAGCTCTCCAGTTTATTGCAGGATGAATTACTCTCATTAACCAACGAACTAAATTCCATCTTTAAAAATGGAATACATGTAATATCATAATTTCATGTTAATTATATGCAAACAGGGTTCTTGAAAATGAGAATAGAACACTGCAAGTTGGGTGGACCAAATCACCACTGACGATTTTTAGGGGGTGGTGTCACCTCTCACAGGCCTGAACAATGGGGCTTATATGCATCGGTCGGATGTCGGGTCTCTGTGAGATGAAATTACCCTGAATCTCTTTAGGGGTTGCTACATTCCACCAAATAGTTTATTCCATGACAACAAGGCTTAAAGTTATCACCATGACACGGAAGGTATAAAGACAACAGGCTGTCTCAATTGACATGGGTAGAGAGCAACTGAATCTGTATATTCAAGGCACATCATGATTTGATCTGCAGATTCTTTAGGGATATCACTGGCTTAGCATAGTATGTTTTATCCATGGTAAAGATCATTCAGAAGTATGACAATACCATCCGGTTAAGGCCCTTAGTTCCTTTGTTCGTTTCACAGGCAAGGAAAATCGGCTGATACAAACATATGGCATGGGGGATGCAGTCGCTGACTTTCTGAACGGAAGCTTCTTCCACCAATGAAGATTCACATTTTGATTTTCTACTGGGTTATCAAGCAGCTCTCTGTGAAGGACATGTAACTCAAAACGGTCTTCATACATTGAGATAACAGACTCGAAGTTCTCCTGAAGCCAGTGCTTAAGTACAACCTGCAAGAAACAATTTTACTTCTCAATGGCACCAAAACAAGATGACAAGAATTATGCTAATTTTCTGCCAATCTTATTCCAACATACATGACATCCTGTGCCTATGATATCATACATTCATATCTCCTATTGTGTACACATAGCTATTACATTACTGTTAAAGCCTCTATGGTCAAAAGTAAGAAAATAATCCGCTATACCTGAAGGCACTGATGGCTGTATCATGCTACATATTTTTCCAAAAGTAGGCAGGCATGACCAAGGTTCGTAATTTCGTATCATACCGACGTTTCGAGCTTTGTTTGATATGGTACAATACGAGCGTATCGAGCAGTACGCTAGGTGTACTGCTCGGTATATATATATATATATATATAATAAAAATATAAAAATCAATATATAAAAAAATAATATAAAAATAGAAAAGGAGGCATATGTTGCCTCGACAACGTCGTCTCCTTTTCTTCTCGTCATATCAAACGAGGAGAAGAACGTTCTTTTCCTCATCTGCGACATTCGACGAAGACGTCGAAGGCTACAAACGTCTCCGGCCTCCGACGAAGAAGAAGCCGAGCCATTGCCTCTTTGTTGCCTCCTAGATCAGGATTGTCGAGGGAGGGTGACACCGGATCGGAAAGCATCAAGGTTCTCCCGATTCTCCCTCTTCTCCCTCGTTGCTTCTTCTTCCCATACCATAGCCAGGCCGCAGCCAGGCTAACGGTAGCGGGCGATTTGCATACCGATCTACCGAGCGATATCAATCAAAATTAAGATCCTTGGGCATGACAAACACCACACTGGGCTGTGCCCATGGTATAATAGTGCACTAGTATGGCTTGTGCCCATGCTATGATGTGATCATGCAGGATATCAAATACAGCACATGCATATGTGACATGCAAAAGTACCAGTACCCCTCTGGCATCTCGAGGTGGCATCAAGTGTAATATCCCTATTTTTTTAGGACCTATTTGTATATATATATATATATATATATATATATATATATATATCGCAGCAACTAAATTGTAAAAGGTGAAAAAAAAAGAAGGTTTCCATCCCACCGCCTCTCTCTCGTGTAAAGATAGGTGGTGGGTGAGTGAGGAAGAGAAGAAAAGAGGGAAACCAAGAAAAAGAAAAGAAAGAAGAGAAGGAGGAGAAGGGAAAGAGAAGAAGAAAGGAAGAAAGGAAGAAAAGAAGAGGAGGGAGAAAAGAAGGAAACAGAGAAGAAAGAAGGCATTAATTGTGAGAACAGAGGAGAGAAGGAGGACAGAAGAAGAGAAGAAGAAAGGGAGAGGAAGAGAAAGGAAAGAGAGGAGGAGGATACCACGTAAACGGAAAGAGAGGAAGGAAGAGATGAGGAGAGAGAAAGAGTGGCATTCTGTGTAGAAGAGAAGAAAGAAAATAAAAGAAAAATAAGAGAATCATTATAGAGGATTCGTTTTGATACCAAATAGATTCAGATCAAGTTCAGGAAAATTATATGAGGTATGGTTTTGAATTCTCTTGCATTCCCATTAATTAGATTTATGTTGATTATAGATTGACTAATGTTGGTGTTATTAGTTAATGTGATATTTATGCTGTGAAGGAAAATATACTTATTTTGGGAAAAATAAGGAAAGGAAATATATGAACAATATGTTTGTAACAAAGATATGCGATCAAGGTAAGTATCCGATAACTTCGTCTAGTCTATTTTCGAAAGTGTCAATGCATGTGTTCAAAATTTGTAAATGCATATGATTTACATGATTTAGAAGTTCTTTTATTATTTAAAAATATTACAAAGAATTTATATGTTTACCATTTGGAAAGGCATATGGTTTAACCAATTAGTTACTGTTTACATGCATTTTTAAGTTATCTTATTTGAATTTATATGAAAATGTTCGTCCAATATTATAGTTAAAAATGATTGAAAAATATGTTAATATCATTAGTTTTAAATGATATATGTTTGCATCAGTTTTGAATTGATATGCAAAAAAAAAAGATTCATTAAAACTCTTAGTTTTGGTAAAACAATAATTGATATATTATTTCCATGAAATGACAGTTGTCTAGTCATCATGGTTATGATATGAACCCTACCAATGAGGGTTATATTAGTATGTATTCAGAAACTAATATCTTCTGAGCCCTAACACAGGGAGATATGTGTTACCTACACCATGGGAGTTAAGCATAATTCTGAGCCTTGTCACGGGACTATAACATGGCCATAGCCATTGATACTACTGCAACTTCTGTTCAGCCATATACACCTTAGCTATATTTATGTTTATGCACTCTTAGCTATGTGATCTGTGACATTAGCCATACTTATGCTTTTTATTATGAAAATGTATTAAAAGATATTTTGCTTTAAAAAGTATCATTAAGAAGCCATGATTTGAAATGCATATGAAATTGATGGTTTATAAACTTTATATGCATAAAAAAAGTATTTGATAATTATGCATATTTCTAAAACATGTATTGAATGCATAAAGAACATATGTTTTTAAAGAAAATGCTTATTTATGATAAGTTTTGCTAATGGTGCTTACTGAGGTGTGATTTACTCATATGATTATCTCTCAATTTTTCAGTGTTGCACAGCAGAAGCATGGTGGATCAATTACTGATTCAATTATGCAATTAATCTATTGATATTACTGTACATTGAGATTCCTTTGTATATATATTATTCCTTTGATAATTACTGTACAGCAGAAGCATGTTGTTTCTTTAAACGAGTTGTTGAATCTATTGAATGTCTTATGGGTGGATTGATTATGGATTGAGTTATGTTATTAATGTCCTGTGGGTTGATTACTTATGAACTAGATTATGTCATAATTATTCCATGAAAGTTATTTGTTCTGATTCTGACCTTGCATTTTTATAGGGAAATCCATAGGATTGCAGCGTTGTACCGTCCCCAGCTTTCCGTTGGGTTGGGGACATTACATCAAGTTCCATCTAAGATAACTTAAAATTTACATCTACCATATTTGAAGTACTTTCTCCTCATGCATATGCAGTGGCATTATAGGTTTACTAGCTGACTTAAGATGTTCTTTAAGATTCTAGTTGTTAGAAGAGATGTTGTATGACAGTATTAAATGTAAAATTGGTTAACAAGTCAACTAACTTAGCCTTGCTTACCTCATTCCTTAGTTTTTGAAGTGTTCTAGTGGACATTGAACATAATGTTAAGCCCAAGCCACTCATCTCTGTAGAAATGTCACTGTCAATAGAGATAAGCTCCAAATATATGCTTGCTATTGTATCTGCCAACATAACCACCAGATCTTCTAAAATGTCAACTCCATATTGTGTCAGAAGTTTAGTACCATAACAGCATCCAACACTGGTAAAAGGAAATAAGAATATTAGTGACATGTTGTGATCTGACTACAATTGTACAATACTCCAGTTAAGAACTCCGGAAAATCTTGCACAAAAGGAATTTCAAACTGATATTAACAGCAAATCAGTCTGTAGGGAAAATCTGTGAAATGTTCACTTGAGTCTACAATCCAAACCAAGAGAAATCGTCCCCCAAAAGATCAAGAACTTAGTACAATCAACCACTTTATTAGGCCATTTAACCATACATGTTGTCACAATGAGTTCAAGTGCCAAACATTTTAAAAGTTGGTATCCTGAACTTTAGTAAATGAATGAAGTAAATTCTATGACATGAGCAAAAATATAGCCCCAGTTAAATACAAAGAAAAAAATTAATTCCATCATCTGAGCAAAGCAATATATAGGCTCAATTAAATATTAAAAAAGAGTTAATTACTTATTCTACTTCGTTAGCCATTTCTTGATAACGCATTGGCTTTCAACTGATCCCTCTTTAAGTCTTCAGTTAAAATTTATAGCCCATAAATTTAACGATTGTAATTAAATAACATTGACAGACAATCCAACTTCTAACTCCCACATCATGCTTACTGGGCTTTGCTTCACTAGCACATAATTAATTGGATGTTCAAGCATAAAAATTTTGTCAATAGGTAACAAAGATGAAAGAATACCAAGAAGGGAAAAAGAGACCAAAAGATATGTGATAATGCAGATCTCTCTAAAAGCGTTACAGGACCTTCAGTGGCATGATATCCATCAGTTGTGTAATATGCTTGATATAACTGCCATAAGCAAAAGATTTCTTTGTTCAATAACTTCTCATTCCGCTCCTAGCAGCAAACAATGCTACGGGGATCAAAATATAATGGGCTTGCCTAATCTCTATTAGGATTTAACCTTCAAGACCAACTCTAACTCCCACATCATGTTTAATGGGCTTTGCTTCGGTAGAGCAGAACTAATTGGATGTTCAACCATCAAAAGATAAGACAAATGAGCAGACATCAACAATGGGAAAAGGGAGACAAAATTATTGGTAATGCAGCTTTCTCTAAAAGCTTTACAGGACCTTCTAAAGCAGGATATCTATTGGTTGTGTTATATGCTAGATATGAATGTCTTATGCAAAGGCCATTCCTTCCATTCCTAGCAGCAAATAATGTTTGGAGGATCAAAATATGATTGACCTGCTTAATCTTAATTAGGATTTCACCTTGAGAATTGAAGTGTCAAGCAAACAACTCGATAGCTGATGAGCCTCAGCACTTTTACGATTTAGACAAATAAATTATAAATGAAATATACTCATTGCTATATGAATTTAAAAATTCCCAGATATATGAACAGTCATTGACAAAAGATTAAAGAGTTATTGTTTGAACCCTGAAATTAATGGTTTTTTGGTGTATATGATTGAGATCAGTACTTTTTGAGATGATATGCATCCAATTTTTGAGAAACAACAAAACCTATCGTTTTTTGCAGCTTACATTGATAACTTCATACCTCCAACATCCACACAAATACAATTCTAGAGGCTTTTGAACACTTGAATAAGCAAATGATGGTTAGATCTATATATCAAAATATGGCAATTTCATGTAATATTAAGAAGTAACTTCTAAATTACGGCTTTTGTTGTTGTTGTTGTTGTTGTTGTTGTTGTATCAAGGAGTAACTTCTAAAGAAACATAGTTCAACAACAAAATATCAAAAGTTATATTAATACCTGAGAGAACCAAATCTAAGAAAGAATAACAAATCTGAATATAGTTCAGACTTGCCTACTCTATTGATATTTTGTAAGATTCTTTCATCGCCCTTCAATTTCTTTAGCATTTTGGAAGTAAGCATCTGAGACAGAATTGAAAATCTCAATCAGAATTTTGAAGCGTTACAATAAAAAGAAAAATCATGTGTTCTGATGTACCGTGTTGCACTCTCCAATTTCCAGATTGAGTTCTACGTCGAGCCATTCCTTGCATATTGGTAGCATTGCTCCTTTTATAACTTCTAATGAGATCTTTAGCCAGATATCATGAGTCACAAATTCGCTATTTTCTGAGATATCATTGACCTGCCAATGCAGTCATAGCATCTTAAACTATATCTACAATAATTCAGGCACCTTGAAAGATCATCTGATGAACAATAACATAGAAGAAAAACATTATGTTAATACATACTTCAAAATTTAATTATTGACAAGAAAACTTCAAAAAAACAATAGCAGCCTTCTCTCTCTCTCTCTCTC